AGTTCTTTCCAAATATTTGAAGCTGTTGGGCATGAACTAAAATTGTCAAGTGGAATAGGAACTTTTTAAAGTGTGTTCTCTATAGATCCAGAGGCTAGAAGTATGGCCAGCTGGTAAAAATTGCAGGGGTCAACTTTTCACTGAACAAAAAGGAGCAGTTTAAAAACTTGTCCATATCAGCAGCTGGTAAGTGGTACAGCTGAAATTCAAATCTAGTGGTAGTTTTTGTTTGTTTGTTTTTTCCAGTTCAATTCAATTCAATAAACATTATTTTTTAATGTCTGCTTTTGACCAGGCACTGTGCTGGATACTGGAGATACAAAGATAAATGGCAGATAAAAGTCCTTTCTTAACAGGACTCACACTTCATCTTCTCTGTAGTGCTAGAAGTGTCTGCGAAAAGGCAACATGACCATTCAGGTCTACTGGGAAAGAGTTATTAACCTTAACCAAATAATCACTATTGGTACACTCGTACCCTAAAAGTTTATAGATGTGGATTCTTTATGATATAATAGACATAGTTCTAAAATGTTGGCATAATAATAATAGATTTCTGGAAATTCAGCCACTGGCATATTTTAAAATATTAAATGGCCATATCCCAGTAAAATATTACCAACAAGTTAAAAATATAGCTATTGTGCTAAAGCTTCAGATATTGTGCCAGAAATTTCATTAGCTTGAGGCAAGATTCAGAAAAGGGGAACTTGTGCTCTTGGCAACTATAGTGACATGGCTTGGGGGTATCTAGATCACAGCCAGGATTTCTGAGTTCAGATCCTGATTGCCACTTATCACCCATGTGCTCTGGACAAGTTACTTGACTTCTCTCTGATTCACATGCCCCATCCTTAAAGTGAGATGATTTAATAATAGGACCTACCTCAATAAGGCTGTTGTAAGAATTTAGAACAGTGCCTGGCACATTGCTGGCAGTCAATAAACATTCAGCTATTCGCACTTTAAAGTATAGACTTAATCTCTACTAAAGTCAATAATCCAGTGTATCACTCCAATCTTCTGCTTTCCACCCAAAGGGGTCCATCTTATGGGACATCTCTTTTTTTACATAAACGCCAGTTCTGGTTAGGAATACTGCATAAGTACAATGTATGCTTTGTAAATATTGGAGTAAATTCTGATTTATCTTACTAACAATTGAGACTACTCAGTAGTATTAGAAGTTTCACTATCCTATTTTGTGATTTCATCAATGTGGATATTAGTTTAACTTAGTACCAAGTACGTGTTCAATAAATATTGTCCAAATAAGCCTATTTAGGCTATCTTCTAGTATGTTAAGACCTATAGTTTGGAGATTAAAAAAATGAAATTCCAACGTGTTTACTAATTATCTGCTTAGACACTACAGTAATCTATTTGTTCTTGTTAAGCTCTCACCAAAATGATGCCCATCAAGGCAACCCAAGGGTTTTTTTCTCCTCTATTACTGGCCCTGAAGGATTAACTCCTAATTTGGTTAAGATTAATTTGTAATTTGGTTCTTTGATTTGGGTGATTTTTTTATACTCCCTATACTTTAAAAAATTACTTAAAGCAGTTTCCCATTAAAGATACACACACACACACACACACACACACACACAATAAGATTGATTAAAATGTTTAAAGATGAGAAGATTTATATGAAACATCTAGGTTCATATCTCAACTGAAAGAATTTTCAAGGTAACAAATTCAAAGAGGTATTTAATATTTCTTTAACTTAAGAAAATGGATCTACATAATAAGTGATATCTTCTACAATATTTTAATGAAATATGCAGAAAGTTACCAATGACAACAATTTATGTTTATTATGTATTTACTATATACTAAAATAATCTTTTACAAATGCCATGAATAAAATACTAAAACTTTTAGCAGAGTTGAGACCAAATATTGATTTTCTAACTCTAATGCAGAAAATTTTCCATTTTTTCCACTATATTATCCTATACCTACCACATATGGAAGAAAATTTGACCTTATAATTATACAGACACGTGCATGCACACATGCAAACATATGTATAAAAGTTCCATAATTTACACACCACATATCACACACAAACACTTTTGCCACTACCAACTATCTTATTGAAGTAAGAGATGAGTCCTTTCAGTAAATAAAAATGACTCCATTAATTAAATGATTAAATTCACACAGCATCTGTCAAGCTGATGATTTACTACATTTTGCATTGGTTACCCTTGTCCATTTCTCATGGTCAATCAAGTCATGATTTTTTTTCGTTTCATAATCTCTCTTGCAATCACTATACATCAGTCAATGCCCTGAATACGAAAAATAAATAAAATTGAGCCTACAATAAAAACAGATCTTGAATTTTAATTTAATACCAGTCATCAAAAGTCTGGATCAATATACCAAAAAATAGAATTTATTCCTTTTCTCCTTTTATAAATGTAATCAGTTCTAAATACTAGTAATAGTTTTATTAGCTACATTAAAACATGAGGCATGGATGAAAAACAGCAGGCCTTGGGGTGTAGTGATACCACTAGCTTTTAGCCCAGCAAAGAAAACATCAATAAATTACATTGTTGGCACACTCAGAAGACTAGGAAACCAACCAACAGCTTGCCTTTTCCCCCCTTTTAGTTACCGCACAAACCTGAATGAATACATTCATCAGCTAAATGGCCTTGAGCTATTTGAGATTAAAAATTTTGGATGTAACAAGTTATTTTCTTATTGCAAATCAACAACTGAAAATGCACAGAAATCGAAGGACTATAACCAAGTGATTCATTCAGGAGATTATGGTACTTAAGCAATTCCCTGAATTGTGAGCCTCTGATACTCCCTTTCCCAGCTTTTGCTTAGCCAAAACATCTAAATTAGTGGTTCTCAAAGTGTGGTCTTCAGAGCAACAGCCACAGATTCATGTGCTGTGAACTTATTAAAAATAAAAATTCTTTTTTTTAAAATATATTTTATTGATTTTTTACAGAGAGGAAGGGAGAGGGATAGAGAGCTAGAAACATCGATGAGAGAGAAACATCGATCAGCTGCCTCCTGCACATCTCCTACTGGGGATGTGCCCGCAACCCAGGTACATGCCCTTGACCGGAATCGAACCTGGGACCTTTCAGTCCGCAGGCCGACGCTCTATCCACTGAGCCAAACCGGTTTTGGCTAAAAATAAAAATTCTTGAATCCTGCTGAGACCTACCGACCCAGACCCTCTCGGGGTGGGGCCCAGGACTCATGCTCTGATGAGTTCTCTCGGTGATTCAGGTGGTCACTAAAATTTGAGAACTGATCTGAATAAAGGACTCCTCAAATTCTTTCTTTCTTTTTTTAAAAAATATATTGATATTTTACAGAGACGAAGGGAGAGGGATAGAGAGTTAGAAACATCGATAAGAGAGAAACATTGATCAGCTGCCTCCTGCACGCCCCCTACTGGGGATGTGCCCACAACTAAGGTACATGCCCTTGACGGGAATCGAACCTGGGACCCTTCAGTCGGCTGGCCGACGCTCTATCCGCTGAGCCAAACCAGTTAGGGCTCCTCAAATTCTTTTTGCCTTTGATGCCTCACTTTATTCCTCACTTGCATCCTCATTCATAATTACCAACTCCTGCTGCTTATGATAGATCTACTCATTGGGAACTGTACTCAAGCACAGTGTGAGGATGCTCCGTCACTCACTGCTGTCTTGCCTCAACAGAAAAACATCTCTGGATTTTCTGCCCCTTCCTCAACTGCAGCTCTGTGACTGTAGGGATGTGCAGCTTTGAGGATCCATCCAACTGGCAGTCATGACTACTTGGCTCATTGGTCACAGTTCTCCACAAATGGCCTGCATGCGTGTGCACTTGGCCCTCACGTTGTTCATGTCACACCCTCTCTGCTAACTTGCCATGTGAACCTGCTGCTCATGCTGCTGAGGTTGCCCCCTGTGGATGTTCAATATCTTGTTTAATCAAGGATGATGGTTTATGTCGCTACATGACCTTCTGCAGTGACCCGTCTCATAGGGAAGCTTGGAATAGGAAGGGGGACCGGTAATTCCTTAGGAGGAGGAGAAGGGCTGGCACTACCAAGGGTAAGCATGTGATGCCCCAAGCCCAGCACAGAGAGACGCATCAGATAAAGAACTGGAGAGCAGTTTGGTTTTTAACAATCGTTTGCAGCTAAGGGAAGTGAGGCAAGGCATCACTTCCTGAAAACTATCTCACGTTCTTATTACTTAAGTGCTAAGAATACTAACTTCTACTTGGTTGGCTCCTTTCTCTGTCTCCACAGATCATACTACTATATTTGGGTATGTCCAAAGATAATGAACAGGGCAAAGCAGAAACTTTACTGTTCATTAAAGTTTCTAACCAGAGAAATCGTCTATGGTTCTGCATCGCCAGACTCTAAGAAAATCCCCCAATGTCTCTTTGCCCAGTGCAAAGAGTCTTGAGCTAACCTCACTGTCATTTTGAATCAGTGCCGACACAGCATCACAGCCAACCATTCTCCTCCACAGCGTGTTACAACAGGGAAACGGGAGAGAAGTGTTAAGGTCACTATATGTATTTTTTAAATATATTTTTATTGACTTCAGAGAGGAAAGGAGAGAAAGAGATAGAAACATCAATGATGAGAGAGAATCACTGATCGGCTGCCTCCTCACACACCCCACTGGGGATTGAACCTGCAACCTGGACAAGTGTTCTGACTGGGAATCAAACAGTGACCTCCTGGTTCATGGGTCATCACTCAACCACTGAGCCACACCAGCCAAGTACTATATTTTTAAGCAGCAAGCCCACTTCCCAAATACTCAATAAACAAAGGTTTTAATTCTTAACAAACAATAAGAGAGAAGCTCATCTCAGAACAAGCTGCCATTTCACTAAAATTGCAGGAAAAGTGCTGGCATCGGAATTAGGTGCTTCTTGCTTAATATAGCTCCTCTGACAGAACTTGGTCCTATTTCTCTCGCCCCCAGATTGCTCGCAGGGTGCTTGTTTAC